GCCCATGAATACCCATCTGGCATAGGTAACGAATAGGCTGGGCTGCAGTTTTTAAAAGAATGTTCGATATGGGTACGGATACGGATAAGATAGTTTGCGTAATTACAGGAAAATACTTCACGTAATGCTACAACATGCTGCTGCTCGTACTTCTTTTTAGTCAAAATTAGTTTCTTTCACGCTCTTGTTCGAGCTAATAGCACAATCAAATCAATTAAGGCGTAAACTTTCCTGAAGTTGTTCCGTTGATCAGAACTTAAGTGCCAGCAGAATCTGTTAAAAAGTAGAACAGAAATTAGAACTCAAAAGCAGGACTTACGCATATGGATAGGTAGCGGGTGTGTGAACTTATTAGAAATGGTCAGCGGATGAGTATGCGTGCAGCCCTTAAGGCAAGAGGTACATCGGGAATGAGAAGCCTTACCCGCGAAGGCCTCTAAGTGAAGTTAATTTAAGCCATGTAGTCTTGGATACGAAAGATGTAACGAGTTTTCGGAGAACGAAGTATGGTCGAATAATCTTAAGTGAATTTAAGCCGTGTAGTTTGAGATACGCTAGATGTAACGAGTTTTCGGAGAACGACCTGTGATCGAAATTATCATCCGTCCACCCTGCTGGTATTTCAACATCGGTACCTCACGGTTTTGTAGCTGGTCTGTATGCGATGCGTAGTGGCTGCGGCTAAAAATATGGTCTGCGTTTTTATTATGACCGGCGATTTGTAAGCGGCGAGCGTCGGATGAGCCTTGTGGAAATCGGCGCTGCCGGATAAGGGGAATGACTTGTTCACTACCGTCTGGTCAAATACAGATTTTCTTATATGCAATACAATCATAACCAGCTAGGTGCCATTTCGAGTTGGGAAGGGGCAAGACCTGATTATTCCGCCACTGATCGCCAGACTCTCAGCAAATCGCTCAAGGCGAGAAAGGAGGGCCAGTGATGTGAAAACCAAGGTGGGGAGAGGGGTAAGTCCCCAACGTTCTACAATTTAGATTTGACCCAAGGGAGTAGACCGGAGGTAACTAACCAAAATTAAATGGGTATCAGCCTCCTCCAACCTGGAAAAACTGCTTTGCAGTGTTATACCGGTACAGGTGTACGTTCCGAAAAAAATGTGGAGGTCCGCGGACGCCACCTCGGTACAATCCACGGACGTCAGTCCGGTTCAGTCAACGGACGTCAGCTCAGTCCAGTCTACGGACGTCAGCTCGGTCCAGTCCACGGACGTCAGCTCGGTCCAGCCCACGGATTCAGCTCGGTCCAGTCCACGGACGCTCCCGGGGTTCCGTCTGCGCCGGCTGTTGCTTGCTCCGGTAACCACCAGGCGGCAGCACAGGCAGGCGCAGCAATAGAAGGCATTTTCCTATCAGCTGCGGTAGCCTGCGGGGTATATTGGAATAGTTATCCCCAACTTAGTCGCCATTCGGATCCTACAGAGGTGAAGTTTTGCTGGCCTGCGTCCCCTGCTTAAGAGTTGGCTGACATCTGAACCGTATCGTATTCATGCTTTCATTACGCTGTCTTAAAATCGCGGCAAGACTTAACCAATGCACGTTTGCTGAAGAGGATTTCTCCTCCCCAGAGCCACGCAGTCTTCTCTTTGGTAGCATCCTCCCGACCCTGTCGCCTCAGCCGACCAATCCTCCTGATTCCATCTCACACCACACATCCACGGTGCGATCACGGAGGGGGAGGGGGAGAGGGGGGGGGGGGGTTACCATGCCGACGGGGCGTCACCGTCTCCGCCGCCTCGCGTCAGCCGCCATCTCTGGGAGCGCTCTTCTGAGGCTACTGCGGCCCCCGCGGCACCGGGGCTAGGCTGGGCTCCGACATGATTCGACGCAAGTCAGTTGAGCGTAACACAGCCGTTGGAACGGCATTAACTTCCCGCGCTGAGCCACGTGGCTCGTTTAGCACCGCGGCTCAGAAGCCATAAGTGCGAATCGAAGTTGGTTCTCAGCTTCTGGACGCACATTCGAGATTTGTGCGCTGACGTGATGTAGGTGCTGCTAGTTGTATGTGCTGTTTTCATGGTAGAGAAAGAAATGAAAGAAAGAGAGAGAGAGAGAGAGAGAGAGAGAGAGAGAGAGAGAGAGAGAGAGAGAGAGAGAGAGAGAGAGAGAGAGAGAGAGAGAGAGAGAGAGAGAGAGAGAGAGAGAGAGAGAGAGAGAGAGAGAGAGAGAGAGAGAGAGAGAGAGAGAGAGAGAGAGAGAGAGAGAGAGAGAGAGAGAGAGGAGAGAGAGAGAGAGAGAGAGAGAGAGAGAGAGAGAGAGAGAGAGAGAGAGAGAGAGAGAGAGAGAGAGAGAGAGAGAGAGAGAGAGAGAGAGAGAGAGAGAGAGAGAGAGAGAGAGAGAGAGAGAGAGAGAGAGAGAGAGAGAGAGAGAGAGAGAGAGTGTGGTCTTGGCTGGCGGGGGCGTTCTGCCGTCTCGTTCCACTTACCCTGCGAACTTCTTCGAGTGACTACCGGCCTCCCAGGACGCCCGTTGAGCACCAATTACTGCGGACAGCGAGCTCGGTCCGACACGTGGTGGGTACAGGCCAGCACCAGCGGGTGGTGAGCGACGCGCCGGTGTGGTGACGCCCGCATTAGACCGAGAATGCATCCGGCAGCCGACGACATTCCCCTCCCCTTCCCCTCGCACCGTCGACAGCGCCCGGGCCGCTGGAGCGAAGGCAGCAGCTTTCGGCTGCGGTGAATGTGGTTCGTTGACACTGCACTTTCTCGACGCGGCTTTGAGAAATCGCGTCAGGCAGCTGATAGCTGTGAGGGGTTTGGACGTGCGCGACGACAAACCTGCCGCGGCGCTAGCGGACGCAGCTCTTCTGACGTAGCATGCCGACGCGCGTCTCGCGGCTAGCTCGTTATCCCTGAGCCGTCCGCGGATCTGCACCTAATTATGCTGGCCATGTGTGCAGCCCCGCCGCCGCCCAGCGTGGTGGCGCGGCCAGTAATGGCGCGCGGGGCAGATTGACCTCGTAAGCTGCGCTCCGCGTGCCTGCATTAGACATGGCTGATCGATATAGGCGGTCGGCCGAAAATCCGTATTCGACGTCAAGGCCCCTGCGGCCCGCCGCGAGCGTGAGAGACCCTGAGCGATGCGCCCGGCCGTCCCGCCGCGAGCGTGAGAGACCCTGAGCGATGCGCCCGGCCGTCCCGCCGCGAGCGTGAGAGACCCAGAGCGATGCGCCCGGCCGTCCCGCCGCGAGCGTGAGAGACCCTGAGCGATGCGCCCGGCCGTCCCGCCGCGAGCGTGAGAGACCCGGAGCGATGCGCCCGGCCGTCCCGCCGCGAGCGTGAGAGACCCGGAGCGATGCGCCCGGCCGTCCCGCCGCGAGCGTGAGAGACCCGGAGCGATGCGCCCGGCCGTCCCGCCGCGAGCGTGAGTGCAAGATGAGCCAGCTTTGAGCACGACGAGGCGTGTGGATAACGAGCAGGTCAGAGTCACGCTAGTAGCCGAAGAAGCTGGTGGGGTCTCTGAAAACCGCTGAGCGTTTCATTATGGGGTTGTCGGCACGCGAGCCTGTGACCTTTCAGGAAACTCGCCACTGGCCGCGGTTTCCGTCAGGGTGTGGCGCCGCTAACAGCCCGAGCAATTATGCGCTCCGAGAAATAAATGACCTTACTGGCTGTCTATTAAGTACGCAGAGCGTTTTTCATAATCTTAAACTTTCCTTCCTTTGTAAACGCACTGGTTACGCTCGGCGATGTTTATCTATCCCCTTCCCCTGGATACGCTGCGTCAAGTGCAACGCCCAAAGAAGTTACGTATGTTTGTCCCCCTGATTGAGCTATGGATGCCAAAAAAATAACGGTTGTGTTCCTTGACATCAAAGCAAGCCACCAGCATCTGCCTTTAAGAGTTTAATTTGCTTTTTAAAAAGATGCATCATTATTCTAACCGCACCCGAGCTTAACTTATGTAACCTAACCCTTCGCTCCCTCCTCTGTTGCTCCCTCCTCGACTTCCCCCTCCCCCCCCCCCCCCCTCCTACGCGCGTACCGTAATTTATGGACAGCCTCTTACAGCTGTAATACACGACTGGCTCGGAAATAACCGGGGGGCGGGGGGGGGGGGGGGGGGGGTCGGAGCTGGCGGGGGGCGGTGTCGTCACCGGCGAGACGGCCTGGCGACTCACTGCCAGCAAGCATACGCCGCCCTGGTGCAATATGCTCAGCTACTGAAATACACAGACTCGTAGCGAGGAGAGAAGCGGCTGATAAGTAGCACCACGATGCAATGATTGTGAACCGTCAGCAGGTTGAATCAGTGCCGTCGTTATGAGGCGGCGTTTTGGCTGACCATGCTGGACCATGCCGGCCTTTTGTTGAATACTTTGAAGGCCGATGTCTGTACAAGCCGAACCGAGCCAACCATGGCCGTGGTCCGTGGACCCAGGCTAGTGCAGCGGTACGGTGTGGGTACCAGGCTGTTGGAACAGGTGGTATGCATAGCAGGTAGCTCCACTAAGGATTGGCCAGTTGATGGTGGACACGTTAGCAACGAAGGAGCATTTGTGGACTTACCAAGCGCGTTAGGCTTAATATGTCTTTTTTTAAATAAGTGACACGATGAATATTGTTGGTTCCTTTCTTCGAAATAGATTCGAACTTTCGAGCCTTGGAGCGATACTGAACTGACTGAATCAGCTGAACCCAACTTGATACAAAAACAATGTCGCTTTCTATCGACATCATGCGGTCGCGAGATTTGTAAAAAAAGTGTGCATTTTGCGCAGCATGTGGACACCTTCTGCTCTAGTCAGCATACTAGAAGACAAGCATGCACTTCATGTGTGTTTAGTGCTGTATTGCTGGCTTTTCAGCCTGGTACCTGATAGCAAATAGCTCAGCGGCAATACCAGACCCTTTCGTGTATGCGCGTTTACCAACAAATGCATATAATGTTTTCATGCGCCCATTGTGGTGGGTACCCCACCGCTGCTTTGTTGCGATGTGATTGTTCTGCACTTGTTCTAACAACAGTTCTGTATTCCAGGGATTCTGCGTGGCCCTCCTGTTTTGCTTCATTAACGGAGAGGTAAGCCTTCCATTGCTTCGCGCGTGGAATTTGTGTTCAGACTTTCGCGAGTGGAATTTGTGTTCAGACTATCATCTTCATCTGATGTGTTGGTTTGAACATACCTGAACACAGGGCGGAGGACGCAAATTCGAACAAGTGTCACATTGGCGGCGCTTGTGCTTCGTCTCAATCGTTACATGAAACTGCTCTACCACTGTTCTCTAAATGGAATACCTGATCGGATCCAACGCAACCAGCTTGCGTGTTCTTCAGGCAGTTGTATCTATCGTAGCGACGACAAAACCTGAGGATCTCCTGTAAGGAGATCCGCCCGGCGTCCGCGAATTCTCCTCAGCCGTCCGGTACCCCAGCCGAGAGCGCGACACACGGACGACCTTAGGGGCGACGCGTCTCGGTGGGCACGGCTCCCTGGCCCCAGCGGGACGTGCCGAGGGCATCTCCCGCGTCCCGGTGCCTTCCGCTCCCTGGCCGCGGGACGTCCGCTTCGGCGCATTTGGCGCAGCCCCGAAACACATCAGCTGTCGCGAATCCACTTAGCTCGCTATTCGGCTCCGCTTACCCGAGCAGAGTGGCCGCATTAGGCGCCATAATTAATCGGCTGGAATGCGCCGACCCTTCACGGCAGAGCGTGGCGGCCGGAAAATTAGGCGCCTGTTAATGGCCGCTCTGAAAACGCGCGCATAACGGCAGATTAATCTGGCCTGCGGAGAGTAATCGGGTTGGCGGACAGGCCCCCGCGCGCTCCATCCGGGTGGTGGGGAGGGCTGCATTGATGGAATTCGCACGTCTGCGGCCGTGTCCGCAACGGAAACGGATTGCCACGGAACGTCTTCAAAGATTGACATCTGACACTGAACGAATCTTTTAAATGCAGCAAGAATTTCAGCTGCTTTTAAAGGGCTCGATTTTACGCAAATGCGGTCTTCTCGATATGCGGCGTAGTTGTCGCTTTTCGATTCAGTTGCATGGACCGGAATTAACAAAAGATGCTGTAGATTTCATGTTTCCAGAAATTAGTGAAATACGTCAGTTAGATGGGCATCTCGTCAGCCTCGAAATGTGCAGCATAATTTAAACATTGAAGATTTCACGAGGCATCATAGTGCGAGGCTGTTCAAATAATTAAGGTTTTTACCCTTTAGTCTCTAACGACATATCGCTTATGAACGCGTTCGTCTGTAATGTTTTGCAGGTATTTTAGACCAGGTTTGTAGATGCGCTTATGTTAGAGAAAATTGCAGTTGGCTAGCAATAAGTATGATTACACGTTGTGGAGACTTATGATATCAGATCTCTTCCTGCTGAAACTTTCCGAAACTCTTTTAGAAATAATCGGTGGTATGCATGGCGCAAGCGCGACAAAACAAACTCCTATAAACTGACCTCGTCCTTATTTATAAGCACGCAGCAATCACAGGGACGTGCACAGAAAAAACATAGCCGACATTAAATGATCATTGAACGAAATAGCCCCCAAAGCCCGCCTTGCTCCACATAGCAGCGAAGCAAACAGTAATACGCCGCCTGCATCCAACGCTCCTGAGCGATTCATGTGTCTGTTTGCTAGACATAGTATCTCCGTAGAATTTGGAATGAGTTCTATATAAAAAGTCCCGCTTTGCATACAAAATATATTCTGAGATCGATAAATGTAGCTCCGCTGAAAACGTACCAGCACGTTAATCCAGCGCCAAACTGACTACTGGCAATTTGCATTTCCTTGTTTAGCTGTTAAACTCGCTGTATTGCATACCAAGGCTTCACGTAAATAGCGAAAACATGATAAACAATATGTCGTATAAGCCAGAAGTCGTAAACGGTTTACGATGCCCAGGTGATTTTTTACTGCTACAATCCCTTTTAAACACCAGTTGTGTGAACAGTTGCTGACGGCAACAAGACTGATGTCGGCTACGTGCCGGGCGGAGATCGTGTTCTGCTCCACTCGAGGGGTGTGGTACTCTCATACTAATCTCTAAGCAATGCGCGTGGACAAATAATTCAAGAGAAGCTGCTAAAATAGCGGGTATCGTTGTGATAAGGATTGATAAATACGGACTCTGGGAGTTAACACGCGCCCGGGTGGCAGGCTAGATACCCTTCGTCCGGGTGGGGGAGGGGGGTGTGGAGTGGGGGAGTCAATTTGACCCCCAGCTGAGATCTCGGGAACTAAGCAGGCTAGAGACACCAAATTTATAGGGTGTGTTGACCTGTACGTGAACTCACTTAGGTCAAAGTTTCAGATTCTTAGCGTTATGACCTTCGGGTCAAAAAAGGTAAAACAAGGTAAAGTTCCAGGTTGGTCTCCAAAGTGCACCCAGATCCTGGATAACCGTTTCTAAGAAAAAGGTGACAGTCTCATTCCAGGTCAGTGACCTTGTTTGAACTTTTGAAGGTCAGGGTGACCAAAATCATACGAGATTGCTCTGAGTTTTGCATTTGACAAAGCGACAAAGATTACGCTAGGCAGTATATTCCTAAAACAAAATGTTTACCTGGGTCATTTTAGGTCAATGGCCTATTCTGACCTCTGAGAAGTCCATGGAAGATGTATAATGCGGTTCCTGCCATCAATAAATTCGAAATGAGCACTAGAAACTATCCCATACAGCGAGCCCTAGAGTAATAAAACAGGTTGGTTTTGACCTTGGGGTGACCTTCACACCTGACCTTAGGTCATTTACTTTGCTCATTCAACTGTTGGGTTGCCTAAAAAAGCATCTCAGAGATGTATGGCTTCGTCTAACACTTCCGTTGTTGGATCAGATTGAAGGATTCTCTAGGAATTGCCCTCGCTGAACCCATGGTCTGACTTTGACCTGCCCTCGGTCAGTAACCTTACAAAGTACATTTAAATTTCTGATGCCAAACGATCTGCTATTCGATTGTCTACAGCTATGTAAAATTTGGCGGCGTTACGCCACGCCGTTCGGAAGCTATTCTGAAAACACCTTCGGGGGGGGGGGGGGGTCAATTTGACGCAATTTGACCCCCGAAGTGACGCATTTCAAATGAACCTGTTACCCAGCCGTTTACATTTCCCAGAACTTAAGTTGTAAATAATGGAACCGTTTCAAGAACATTCAGACCCAAACCTGTCGTTTTGCACTACGCAGTCCAAAAGTAGTGTGAATAAACCCATTTAGTACAAACACATTGTGTAGTATGTCTTGAGTATCTACCAGATATTTCGCAAACCTCATGTCCGTACCCCTACCTATACCCGTAATTTTCGCAAAATCTGCGCGCAACCTAACCCGTTACCCATTTCATATGGGTGTCCATTAGATTACTCAGCCTGTGAAGTCAGTAAAGTGAAGGCAGTGAACTTGTTTGTTTTCCATTACAGGGACTAAAGTTTACAAAGAACTTGCAGCGTTTACTGCGGTGAATGCGCACAAGAGTCTCAAGGCTTGCAAGTGCACCTGCCAGCCAGTCATAAACTTATCTGATCGGTTCTAGTCGCAAGGTGATGTAGCTCATGGAGAAAAGTACTTTCCCCAAACCAGTCATGTAATTGGAACATGTTTTCCTTTCTGGCCTCCTATCGCAGACAGCTGTAAAATTGTAGCAGTTACAATACAGCGTAGCCTTGCATCTTGTAGCACCATACGTACACTCGCACACTTCTTCAAAATCGGTGTCGCCGAAAACATACTGAGTGTTTTCTCATACTTGTCATTATCACTATTTTCGAGACCTTTTGTGGCAGAGGAGTCATCTTTACAATGTACGTCCGCTTATGCGTTGCATTTGATGCCCTGTAAGTAACGTAATTTACATGCAATACACGCTGATCGAACGGGGTGCAAGCTAACCATCTATCGCAAATTTCAGTGCTGCGGGGATTCCGAGGTGCCACTTACGGTGATCTGCGATGAACAAATGCTTCCAATTATGGGAACATCAATTCCGGCTTAGATATCACCGACTCATCTATAGCTCCAGGGGTGTCTCGCATGGCCGACTGGATGCCCGTTTATCTCCATTACTTCGCCAGTGTCACCCGGGCTCGAGGTCAACGCCCCTGTCCACAAGGTCGGGTCACCGAACTGGCGGCGGGTGTCGGCATGGATCGATCGCGGCTCACCGGGGTCATGTCAGGTGACGGCCGGCGGAGTCATTCTCTCTGGCCGGGGGTAGCAGGGTCTGGTCCGGTCACTAGTCACCGGATCATGTCGGATAGTGGTGGCGGGGTCATCCGTGCTCGGTGGCAGATGGACGGAATCCTGGTCATCAGGCAACAGATGGCAGGGATCATGTCGGGTATGAGCGGTGGGGTCATCACGTCAGGTCACGAATGACAAGCCATCATTTGGAGTCACTGAGGTGCGTGAGGTGAGATCACTGTGTCAGGTTTCGAGTGGATGGGCCATCCTGTCGCGTCAGAGGTGGTCGGGTCATCAAGTTGAGTCACGGGCGGCGGGGTCACCGTGTCGGGCCGCGGGTGTTGAGGTCGTTCTGTCTGGTCAGAGGTGGTCGGGTCATCGAGTCGGGCCACGGGTGGCGGGGTCACCGTGTCCACGGCCGATGTCTAGCGAGCGGTACACTATTTCCGTCGGCATTTTGTGCAGTGCCACTGCAGGAAGACTCATCTTGCGAGAAATGCTGCTCCAGGGAACGCCAAGTCTGCCGCCTGGAACTCGTGACAAGAATGCAGTGTAATTACATCACCCTGGTGCAGCTGGGAAAACATGTATCTTTGAAAAGACCAGCTTACATCTAAAGGCGGCCAGAAAGGGACCAAATGTAATTGAACTGTGTGAACTGGCGGCTGTCCGGTTCCGCCAAAGAGTAAATGTCAAATACAAATAAGATAGGAAACAGTGAATAGCAAAACTGTGCGAAAGGCGTAACTGTCGCACTGAGCATAATGTCACACTTATACTAATCACGATATTTCAACGCCGATGGTCAAAATATTGTGTCTGATAGCATTGCGCCCATCTTACATCTTAACAGACCAGGAATAGCAAATGGTTTAACTGTTTGAACGCTGCTTGTGGCAACACCACATTCCTTAACTAATCGGCGGCATATGGGTATCCTACGGTGAAAGCGGCCTTGCTTCATTTGTTGGTTTACAGTTTTGCGCATTTGGCCAGCCCGTTACAAACATGTGTGTATGGCGCGGTCGGCCGCGGTCGGCGAGCGTACCGCGGTGGCCTGTATTATCCAACAGCCGATCGCAGTCTGTCCAGCCTCCGTGTGACGCCATCGTTTACGATATGCTTGGGATAGATCCTGAATGCATTATGTCCCGAACTGAACGACTTCGAGCGCGGGACGCAGAGTTTGGCCTTAACCCATGGAAGACGTGACCTGAAAGGCCCGATGAGCTTTTCCGGGAATACTAGTCACTTACGGGATTGTACGGACTCCCTTTCTAAATGGAATGCAATCTTATAGCTTACTTCAGCTGCCATTGACCTAGAATAGTATTAAAAGAGGGACCAGTGCTTTGTTGAGATCATTTGCGTCGCGCTTCAAAATTATGTGACCGATTATGCACGGCTCGCGTAGATTGCACGCTTAAAAGACTTTTCCTCCACTGATTTGCCGTATCATTTAATGCTACGTAATGATACAATCCTGGAAAAAGTGATGACGTGCTGGCAAGCCTAGGCACGCAAGGCGTGCCCTGTTAACCTGGCTGGACATGCCAGAAGTTTCAACCACTGACGGGCTCTTATTAATATGTGGTTCAGTGTAGCCGTGTTCTTCCGTTATGCAGCCTGCCTCTCCCACAGTCATGGGCCATATAAATTCTCGAAAACGTGAAGAGGGAAGGCAGAGGGAGAGAGTGGGGGAGAGAGCAAGGGGGGGGAGGGGAGGGAGGGAGGGAGGTGAGGAGGGAGGGAGGGAGGGAGGAGGAGGAGGGAGGAGGAGGAAGGAGGAGGAGGAGGAGAGAGAGAGAGAGAGAGAGAGAGAGAGAGAGAGAGAGAGAGAGAGAGAGAGAGAGAGAGAGAGAGAGAGAGAGAGAGAGAGAGAGAGAGAGAGAGAGAGAGAGAGAGAGAGAGAGAGAGAGAGAGAGAGAGAGAGAGAGAGAGAGAGAGAGAGAGAGAGAGAGAGAGAGAGAGAGAGAGAGAGAGAGAGAGAGAGAGAGAAAGAGAAGGAGAAGGAGAAAAATGAATAATTGATTAATCCTACCTGTGCTGTGGTTCGCCAATCAGACATCACTTGAACTGATGCTCAGTGACTTAAAGCTGATGAGCTTCCTCTTTCTCCAAAGATCATAAGAAGCCTGCCCGGTGAGATCTATTAAGGATGTGGTATCGCACGTCTCTTTGCGTGCTGCGATCTGGTCATATTTTTTCCAAAATGTCATGCACAGTGAACCACTCCCTTTATCAGGGAGATGAATGAAGCCAAGCTTTTGCTCCGCTGCGCCTTGGCCCCAGGGCGCCAGCACGACCTCCGCAGTGAACAGTGGTCATTTAAAGAGCGCGACGATTTGCGCCGCGTTCACTTCATCAACAAGGGAGACAAACGCTAGTCGTTCGCTTACCCAGGGGCAGGGGAGTCATTACGAGCACAGCCCTGAGTGGTTGCTTGGTGCAGCTGGGACCCACAGAGTGTAATACAAATGTGCCTTGACTATCGATCAGGTGTGCTCTCCCTGTCGCCACTACCGTCCTCTCTCCTCCGGCAGGTGCTGCAGCAGTTCAAAAAGAAGTGGCAGCAGACGCGCAGCATGAAGCGGAAGCCGTCGCACAACTCGTACGCCTTCACCACCATGAGTGTAAGTAATGCGCTAAGGAATGTGTACAGTGCACTGGTTGGCCTGTGCAGAGTGTGATACCGGGCGTGCTTTTGAGCTTGTGCACAAGTGCAGTACTCAGGTGGCGGGGGCGTGATGCACTAACAAACTTGAGGAAGGTGGTGCGTTTCGTGTCAGCAGTGCTAACTTCATCTTCATGGAAGATCCAATTTGTGCCCTGTGCTTCGACATGAACATTTCCCCGACGTTGTATGCCGTTCGTGTTGGAGTCCTGTGCCGCTTGGTGGTATGTCGCTGGGGTTCAGGGAGCGGCTGATGGGTGTTGTGACGTCCCATCAGAGGTGACGGGTGAGCAGCAGCGGCGACCCGCCTCCCCCTGCCGGGGACCCGCCGCCGGGGCTGTCGTGGGCCGCTCGCCGCGCTTCAGAGTGCAGGAGCTTTCAGCTGGACCAGCTCTTGACGGAGCCCATATCCTAGACGACATCTGAGTGTGCATATGCGCAGCGAGGTGCGGTGATGACCTGATTTGCGACATTGCGTTCCCGCGGAGTCTTTTTGCCGCCCGCTGATTCCCTGCGGAACGGGCATCGGTCTCCGCAGGCTGCGGCAGGCGTTCATATGCATGTCCTTCGATGTGGCCAGGACGGATTTGTGAGAGTGTCATCTGCCTCTTCATTTCCTGCTCTTTTGATTGCGATCGCATCTGTTTAGGGCCGGCGCACAGGCGGATCCGGAGATGAGGCTGAATATTGGTGTTTCTAGCAGGGAGCTTTTATGCTAGGAATAGTTTTCCCCCAATATCCCAGTATGTACCAGGCAAACGACGATGTCAAACAAGCACTGGTGAACTTGAGGAACTTCGACGTTTCTGTTGTGTTCTCTTAGTCACGATTACACAAGGTTAACCAAGACACCCACATTAAAAAACTAGGCCTATTTAGATGCACAAAATGTCCGAATCTGTGCAGAAACTGCCCATAAAAGCATACAAAAACGATCAATCACTTGAGCCTTCGCATCCACACACCCGGCATACGGCGTCGCGCCGAGGCTGTACGAAGTACGGGCGGCTGAGCCGGATGAGCGCGGTGACTTATGCCGAATGGAAGGTTCGGAAACTACTTTCCACGATTATCAGGTATCAAAATCCTTGTTCAAACGTCACGAACGTTGCAGCTATTCAGGCTTGAAAAGGAGCGTTCCACATTTGTACAGGGTTTTTAACTGAAATGGGCGTCTTGATGATCATTTGGCGCAGTTCACAGCCCTGCCATTCTCAAGATCCAAATCAATTTAGTTTTTGAGTTACATGCCCGCGAAAATGTGTAGACCACTACTTGCAGACTATTTGAAGGTCACCCCGGCATCTATGGAACCAAAAAAACGCCATTCAAACCCTGTCATTTCATTGTCCATGCGGTGATCAAGGCCAAGAAGAACGTGAAATACTCACAAAACGGTATTTTCGAGTCGTTCATATCTAGCGTTCGTGAGCACTATTTCCAGACATAACGGGCGTTATTTGGTTCGCAATTAATGTTATGCAAGCTACGGCGATGCAATCAAACCATGTCGTATTAAGGAATATGTTGGCGAGGCAGAGAAATTGTGTTGTCTAGAGCAGTCTTTTCCACAAAAATTGTACCATTAGTTGTATGTTAGATTGTTTCATCACATCTGATGCTTGCTTTAATATCTTCAGATGCGAATATTCCCTTTATCGTCTCCATTCCCCAAAACACCGTTGTGTGCCAAATGTTGCCCAATGACAAGCCGAAGGGTTTCGGTGACCTGCATTGAGTATTTACAATTTTTATAAGGATCGAAAGAACTGGGCATCAGGCATCAGCCACATCGAAAGGAAAACTATTTTTAAGCTTCTAGAACTAAAACAACGCTCCTCAAATAAAGGCCTAGAACCAAATATGTGTCTTCCAGCTTCAGAAAAAGATAACGGATGTGCAGGGATCGATCGATATCGATCTGGATACAGATGTGCAGCAATTCTTATACTTAAAAGTTAATGGTATCTCGACCGCCCCCGAGACTCCAGCGTCTCCAGCTGGGGTAAGATCTGCAGCACATGTACTAAAGTTCCGCAAATGTGTGGGATTTTGAAATGAGCTAACCGTTTTAAAGATCAGTTAGTGCATTTCACAGTCATGCCTCGTGCCCTGTCTTTGCGGGCTATACGTCGTCGGATAGGACAGTTTCAGAGTGGCAAACCAGCAGGACCCAGGACAGGACAGACGTAAGCGAGCGCCGAAGCGTGCGCGCACGGCGGACATCGAGCGCCGAGTGGAGGAGCTGGTCTCCGGGGACCGGAGAAATAGCCTTCAAAACATCTTCAATTGCATCAGCAACAGCAAGGCCACAATAAGACGAGTGCTGAAACAGCTGGGGTCCTCGAGTTTGAGCTGCTGGCGGGTGCCACACTGCCTCAAGCACAGGAACGAAAGAATGCACGCGCGGAGGCTTCACATGAAATAATCGTTCGGTATGAGTCTTGCTGTCCATAACTCAGGGGCTCGATAGTCACTGATGATGAGACATGGAAAATTTCTGCGACCCATTGATCAAAACCGAGACCAAGAAACAGAGGAAAGCCGGCGAGAGAGCCCTACCTCAACCCAGGCCTAAGGCGCGCGGATGGGAGGGTTATGTAAATACGGTTTTATGCGACACAGATGGTACTGCCAGCATCGACTTCCTTCCATGGATGACGTGCTTTGCCCTGCGAGGTACGTTTGATCTCTGAAGACTGATCCTCAGAGTCGTGACCAATAAAGGACTGTCCAAGCTGGACCCTAAATTTCAGCTCTATCACGACACGACACCTCATACATCCCACGAGACGGCCACGAGTCGTCCATATCTTTAAGAAGATCCGAAGTCTCCACGAACCAGCACACGGCCTTTTCGCTTGGCTTGGCCACTGCCGAATTTTTCCTGTTCCCGAAACTCAGGAAACCATCGTGAGAAGAGCAGTTCCTCACCGCCGAGGAGCTGGAATGGCTCGTGCCCCGCGCGCTTGGGGATACAGTACAGGAGAACTCGATGCGACGTTCAGGACATGAAGGGAATGGCTTCGTAAGTGCGTACAACTTGGTGGCGAATGTGTTGAAGTCTTAGGCATGTTTTCATGCTTTGTGCTTGTTACTAACCTTCAAAATACCTCCAAAGGTAACTAAATGACCTTTGTAGTTCATCGTTGTGTCTGCGTGTAAAGTTTGTTATCGGACATTTCGGCAATTGCTTAAAGTCCACCTGTCAATGAAATATAACCGGACTGGGCTAATAATACCCCTGAAAAGTCGAACAAGTCTTGAGAAAAGCGTGATGGACGGGCACTAAAGCTGAGTAAGGAGACAGGAGCGCAGTCTTGGAAAACCCCTGAGTTATGACGTGCATGGTGCTATTTACGACCTTTGATGAAGTACTGAGTTGGAAAAAGAGGAAAAAGTTGTAAAATCGTTTTTACGGACCATGACTACGGCGAGTACGATGCCGTTTGTGGAAGTACGCAAAGCTTTCCGTTTTTATACTCTAATTACTGTTAAATGTAATGCTGTGCAAATATCATATTTCGAATCTCTTAATAAGGATTAACTCAAAATGGAAATGATCGGTTACCAACTCATAGCAAAGTAGGATAAGGAAACGAAAGTCACAGATGAGCAAGTCACGTTGCACATGCATAACCCAACCTGGGACAGTTTTAAATAATATAAATTTTCAAATCATATTGCCGTTATTGCTGCGCAATTGACTGCAATATCAGCGACGTTCCAAAAGCTGTTCAACCGCTATAGGGGCTATGCCTTGGGGTTTGCGTGTGCAGACTGAATTCATGTTGATATACAGTACTGTGACTGGACTAGTCCCATCGTACCAGACCTATGTTGTCCAAAATCACGGTCAAGTCGCCATATTCTGAACCGCCTCGCCAGCTGTCCGC